GGTTTGGGGTTCAGGGTTAAGGATTCATGGTGGGTGTGGTCTGTGGTGTCTACAGGTGTAGCAGGGGTTTTTAGTCGTTCAAGTTTTTTCTTGCACTTGGGAAGACTTTAGGTTATAGGTTCAGGGCTGTTCGTGCGGCTTTTTTTCTGCTCCTTTGCCGAGGATCGCCATGCTCCAGCTCCACGACGGGACTGTCTGGGAAGGGCTTTAGCTGCAGCTGATGTCGAAAGTTCTGCTGCCCGAAACGGTTCTTTTGTAGGAGAGTCCTTACTACAGAGTCCTTACTACACTTTGAGCCACATGTGAGCCGAAACGTAACTGCATAGCAAATCGAGCACTCCTTCTGTGCAGGACGGCTCTGGAGCTGTGGGCCAGTGCCGAGGTCAGCAGGAGGAGCAGCATTCGTGGTAGTCGTGGTGGTACTGCAAGGAGTGTGGAAGTCAGGAGTGGGAGGAGGAGGAGGCGGAGGAGGCGGAGGAGGCGGAGGAGGCGGAGGAGGCGGAGGAGGAGGAGGAGGAGGGAGGATGATGAGAAGCAGTAGTGACGCAGTAGTGCTCGTGGTCGTGGTGGTATGGTGGTGGTGATGGTGGCCACAGAAGAAGTGGTATCAGTAGTGGTAGTGCTAGGAGGCAGGAGGAGGAGTCGGAATTGGAGGAGGAGGCGGAGGGTGAGTAGAAGGTGGATGCGGGGGCAGGAGTGGCGGTCGTCACTGTCGTGGGTAGTGCGAGTACTAGAGCTGGTGGTAGTCGACGGCACCAGCAACGGCAGCAGCAAAAGCAATACATGTGCAGGTAGTTACGAAGCGGTCAGAAGTATGGTTTTTGGTAGTGTACATGACGCTACTCTGCGAATTGCTCCCTTGTCCCAACTCATTAGCAACATATAGCAAAAGAGCAGAGTAGGAAGGGGCAGCGGTGACACAGGGTAACTGGACACCAATAAGGGAGTTTCCGAAAATAGGGGACCCTAAGATAGTACCCTAAATAATAGGATCCTTATTATAAGGACCCCCCAAAATAAGGTACCCTAATTTTTGGAAACTCCCATAACAGCCACCTGAAAGCCCAAAGCCTGCTTGAGGCGGCGCTGAAAACCATCGCGGGGCTCCAAAGTACGAGCTGGACCGCCGAGGCGGCTAGGGTTTAGGGTTTAGGGTTTAGGGTTTAGGGTTTAGGAGGATTTCGTTGGTTTAAGGGAGCAGGTGCCTAGCAAACTACCTGCGACCACTTCACACCACCACTACTGCCGCTACTGCTGCTACTTTGTTTTCTCGCATCGTGACTTTGGATCGCTGTGCTGTTTAGACTTGGAAGCCTTCTGTGATAGGCTTGGCGGGTGCCAGTGGTACGAGCTTGCACTACGACGGGTACTCTCCCACTGCCAAACCCTGAACCCGAAATCGGGCAAGACCCTTGGTGAGCTCTTCCTCTTCGGTTGTTTTCGGCACAGTCTCGGAGCCAGAATTTAAGAGTGCCAGCTGCTTTTTCCCCAAGGTCCCTGCGCCCGGCTTTAGGGTTCAGGGCACAGGCATTAGTGTTGCAATCGGGTTTCAAGAACCCGAAACCTAAACCCTAAGCCCTAAACCCTAAACCCTAAACCCAAAACCCTAAACCCTAAACTCTAAACCCTAAGCTGAAAACCGGAGTTCCAGACTGTTCGGGTTGGGTTTTATGTGCAGGCAGCGCTGGACCTGGAGCTGTACTTCACTCGGGCAGCGGGCTCGGCCAAGATCCTGCAAAGCCACAACTCCCGCCTCAAAACCCTGAACCCTAAACCCTAACCCTATGATTCCGGAATCTTCACACGCCCCTTCTTTCGGCATCGCCTCCTATACTTCCTTGAATCACAAAGCAGAAGCCGACAGCTTTACAGAGTTGTGGTTTCGGTGACAAGAATGTTTGGATTTCTGCATTCGTTGAGAAATCCTGCGATGTTTGTCCTAACATGACGATTAGAAATTCAGCCCAAACACGCTATTCTACGTATACTGAGACGACTGAGATCCTTACATAGCTCTGACGAAAGCTTGCTTTCTGGTTTCCTGGCGCTGCAGCTCGACAGGGTTGCCTTCGAGACCAAGCCTATACTCTGAAGCCGAAGCCTTGTTCCCCAAGTCCCAGATGCTAGTCATCAGTCCCTTGTATCCAAGATCTTACGGCAGCCCTATTACATGGCCAAAGCCGAACCTCCGCCTTCTTGAGACAGCGTGGCTCCAAGCCAGAAAGTGCGAAGGTGAAGGCAATCCAGGGCACAGACGCTGGCAACTGGCTCGCGGAACGGGTGCGCACGGAGACTCGGCATTGCTGGGCCTGGCTAGTGGGGGTGGTTCCGCTTGTGGTCGGCATCGGCCGTTCTCGTCGCTGTGGCATTGCCAGCAGCACCATCACTTGCAGAAGTGCGTGTATCTACCACCTCGAGAGCATATCTTTTCCTTGCAGTGCCTGACATTCAAAGGTGAAGGAGGAGAAATAAGAGCATCAAAGCCCAACCCTTTTTTCATCATGAGCACCACAACCTAGGGCCTCAGACAGCCCCTTTGCAAAACCTTAATTCCCACAATCCACCATCAGCGCAATGGTCATCGCGACAACTCTGCACTGATGCCAACGTCCGGCAACAGGAAAAGCAGACTGCAAGACTTTTGGGCTAGAGTTGCTTGCAGGCTTAGTGCAAAGCTTGATCCGCAAACCCAAACGGCGGAGTCTCTGTGTAAAACTCTGGACCCAAACCTGAAAGCCCAAACCCCGACAAAAAGCCCGAAGCCCGAAACACCTAAACCCGCTAAGCCCTTTTTCTGCAAAATCCTGACCACAAAAAACAATAAACCCTTTCCCCCCTATTCCGCCAAACTCTCAAACCCCCCAACACCCGTGAACCCTGAGCCCCAAAAAATCGTAAACCCTTCAACCCTGAACCCTAAACCCTCAACCCCCAAACCATAAATCCGAGGATTTCGCCACCCTGAAGCAGATGATCGCCGAGCTGAAAGAGGGGGCCACGAGCGTGGAGGAGGTCGGCGAGGCCCGGTGGGCAAAGGGTTTCGGTAGGGTTCGTCACGGGTTCCTTTCAGGGCTTCGCTTAGTAAGGGTGTAAGGTTTAGGATGGGCTATCGGGGCTTCAAGAGTTCCCGAAACCCTAAACCCTAAACCCTATAAACCCTAAACCCTAAACCCTAAACCCTAAACCCCAAACCCTAAACCCCAGGGTAGGTTCAGTTCCCTTACCGGACCAGACCTGGCTCCCTTCCGTGGCCCCGGGGCTTTTCGAAGCCGACCTGGTCCTCTGCAGCGAGCCGCTGTGGCTGTGCCACTGGGGCGGGGCTTTTTTAGGGTTTGGGGCTTGGGTTTGGGGTTTAGGGTTTGGGGTTTGGGGTTTAGGGTTTAGGGTTTACGGCTTAGGGTTTATCGGCGAATCGGTTCTATAACGACTTTGGTGGTCTGGGATTTCATAAGGTTTGTCCGGGGTGCCTGAAAAGGCTTCTATAAGGGTTCCATTGCGGTTTAGGAGTTTAGGCTTTTGGCGCTCAGGGTTTTGTTTAGGGTATGATAAAGGTATTGTAATTGCAAGGGTTACTGTAAGGGCTTTAGTTTGCTTGCTTGTTTCAGTTTTTTGGGCCACGAAGGGTTCAGGGTGCAGAGACTTCGGGGGATTCTGCTAGGAGCCAGACTGGGATCATGGCTATGATTGAGTTTGCTAGCCGTGGCATGGCGACAAGCATGGTCATGAAAATGCTGTGATGTTGAAAGTTAGAAGTTTATCATGAAAACGCCCTGCCGACAGTCCAGTCCCAACAGCATGGTGTTTGAGGATGTTGGAGGGATTTCCGGTAGAAAACCACTACAGTAAGCTTATCAAGCCGTAATCGCTAACACCTTAAAGCCCCAAAGAAGCCCTGGACCCTAAACCCTAAACCCCTAAACCCTAAATCCTAAACCCCTAAAAAAATCCTAAACCCCTAAACCCTAAACTAGCCCCTAAACCCTCAAAAGCCTCCCCGATGCTTTCGCGGCTCAGGCCCTTTCGTGCGGCCGAGGCCCAGGGACAGCCCAAAGTCCAATGGTTGAGGGGTTTCCAGGGTTGAGGGGTTCAGGGCTTTATTAGGGTTTAGGGCTTGAGGGTTTAGGGTTTAGGGTTTGAGGGTTTAGGGGTTTAGAGTTTAGGGTTTAGGGTTTTAGGGTTTTAGGGGTTTAGGGGTTTAGGGGTTTGCCTCGTATCCCATGACAGCTGTCTGAAAGCGGAGATCCGCAGTCCAACGCCAGTGGGGGTCAATGCAGGATTTATATCATCAACAGTACCATCTCCATGAAGTAGCCGCAGCCACGTGTACGCTACTCTGAGATGTCCTGCAAGTGGCTCGCTCCGGGGATTTGCTCAAGGGTTAAGGGGTTTGGGTTTAGTAGGGTCGCATGTTCTTCGAATCTGCCACAAGAGGCCTAATCACCGCCACAAGGATTGATACGCGGTCTAATTCCATGGCATGATCCCCTCTGACATTGGTTCGCCGACTTCCCCTCAAACCCTGAAGAAGTGCTTGGCCAAGTGTGACCTTATGCCGATGCCCCAGAGAAAGAAAAGAGGGCGGCTATAATAATCAGCGATAGGACAGATAGCACAAGATCGCAAGCCCAATCGTCTTGAGGAGCCACGTTCCAACCCCCCTCCTTCTCCCTTGAGACCCTAAACCCCATACCCTAAACC